TCCTTAACCCAGTCGAAAAAGTTGAGTAATTAATTTTTTTTCTTACACAGAAGCATTTCTAGGTACAAAAGCTTCAGGCAACAGGGAATATTAGACACCTTCTTGAAAATCAAGTCCCCATAAGAGTCTGGGCACTAAGGAGCAAGGCGTCATCTGACCAAGGATTTCCAAGACTGAAAAATTTCATTTAGGTGCCTAAATACAGTGGAAGTTTCTTACTGAACAGAATTGCCAATGTCACAAATGCAGTTTATATGTTTTACATATATGAGCTATTAATTTGGGAAAAGTAGCTTTTCCCAAACTTAAAGAGAGACTGGGTCACCATCCTTTCCAGCAGGCAGAAAGATATGTGATAGGATGTGACAATTACAACTTCCAAAGTGTTCCTGAGCTGTCTTTGTCCAGTTTCAAGATTTTCTTCCTTTCTTAGTATTTATTTCCTTAAAAGATATGGAAAAAGCCATAAAAACTATATTTTCAACAATTTATTTTAATTTTCAAGATATGATTTGCTTGGATTTAAGCAAATCCAAGTAGAGAAGTGCTAATGTTCAGAACAAAGCAGATCTGTGTACTCTTCTAACCCAGAAAGAGGAGCAACAGAATTTGTCGCCTCATGGTGGGCCCAATTCTGGGGAGTACTGAGTAGTGGATACTCTGCAGATGACAAAGCAGTACAGGCAAGAATGAAAAATTATTCCCAGTGCTACTTGCTCACCCCAGTGCAAAAATTTCACTTAGTAGCAGTTTTACCAGGCAATACTTTTTCTTTTGGCTCAGGCTTCTTTTGACTGAGTGCAGAATATATGGCTATGTATATATACTTCAGATGCAGTAACAGGGGGCTACTCTGCTTACTTTCCAAGGACCATTTACGAATCTTGAATTTAGCTAACCAAGCAGTGTAGCAGGGAGTTTATAAAGATTCCCATAATTCTGCCTAACATGCGATCCAAGCACAGAGCTCCTACTGTACCAGTAAGAATTTGGGACGAAAGAGAAAATATATACTTACTAAGCTGCTTTTAGGAAAGTGATGGTGTTAATTGCAGATGAATTTTATAGATGGATTTTATTTTAAATCATGGACGTTGTTGTTTCTTAGTTTGACAGTGTGTGAACTGTCAAATGTGAAACTACCTGTGTAATGTGTCCTAGTTTTTTACAAAGGGAATATAATATCGATGAGAACCACAATATAGTTTGGTCATACTATGGCATATTTTTCCTATTATCACCAAGTTTCAAAGCAGTCAAACCTGATTTTGAAAGCAGGAATATTTTTTCTCTTTGGTGTTAGCTAACTTTAGGTCACTCAACAGTGATAAAGAACTTTGATAATTTTCAACCAATTTTACTGATAAAATTCCAAAGGTGTGACTTTGACCAGCCAGCTCAGGACTACAGTGCCACATGCATAAAATTGGAGTGGACTGCTCATAAAATTATTGCTATTCATGGCATTAATAGGTAGCAGAAGAATGTGAGTTATGAGTTAACAGAATGTGTCTCTACTAAGAGACAACAGAGAAGAAGAATATGTTGCAGGTTTTACTTTAATCACTTGTTTTATTTTATTCACTTATGCAAGTTCCTTTATGCATGAAAATTTCTGATGTAAAAAAATCAGTCTCTCTGACAGAGAATCTGGAATTGTCCAATTTTATTCCCTCCCCCCCCCCCCCCCCCAGTTCTTCAATCCCTTTATACATTTGGGAGAATTTCCACATAAGTTTCTTTTTTCTTCAGTAGGACTATTAATGTGTGCAAACTTTAATTGGGTCCAAATATAAGCTCTGTGCGCTGGCAGAATGTTAGGAATTCAAGTCTAATGAGTGGTCAGATAGTGCACCAAAGTAATTCTAGAAATCATAGAAATCATACTGATTTATAGAAAGCAGTGCTAGGGAGTGTAGAGTTCCATGTCTTAGGGACAGAATATAAGCAATGAAACGGAGAAATGGTTTTCAACCTTTCTGAATTTGCAGACCCTATTCTACTTTCTTAAGTAAGTTTGCCATCTTGTCTTGAATCTGCCTTATTAATTATCTGGTTACATATATGGAAATACCAAAAAAAAAAATGGAGAAGTAATTTCATTGAATTTCATTATATCTCTTCTAAGAAAAATTGTATTTCATGAAGGAAAGAAAAGGAATAAAACAATTATTCCATTCATATACAAAGTGTCAGTAATTTATAACCAATTTATCAATGACCACACAGCTGCACTCACTGTAGTTTAAGGAAAAAAAAAGCAGCTCATATAATGCTTACATAGTCTCTGAAAGCATAGCATCTTAATAAAGGAAGAGGAAGCCACCGGAGTAATTAGAAAGGTATATTGTATTGCATATAATGGCAGAAGAATGTTTGTATTATAGTCCAACACATCATTAAGGATACAATTGTTATTTAATGTGGCACAATCATCTTTCTACTCTTCATGAAATCCACTTAAGTAATTACTTTTCTTAGCTCATTGGCTCTATGAACTGACAGTTTAGGAAAGTGCTATGTTGAAAGAAATCCTGAATCTCCATTTTTATAATACCCTACCTCTTTTTAATCCTGACTCTTACATCTTACCTGGAATGGCCATCTTCGTGATTGAAAAACTGGTGAGGAGACTGGGGAGGAGGGAGGAAAGGAGTACTAAAAGCTTTCAAAGCTGCCTTAAAAAGTTAAAATATTAAATGAAAAGCCCAGATTCCTTTTCTGTGCAGTATATCCCTTTTCCTTGGTCTTGTTTATGGAACTCACACATATAAATATATAAATATAAACCAAATTAACTGATCTGTTTTTATGCTATTTAGTCATTTTTGTATCTGTTAGTAGCAGAACACTAATGCAGCAGTGCAGCACCTTGAGTTGTTCCTAATCTGTTTTTAAGAGGAATAGTTTTGCAAAGCATATTTTTCAAGTTTTGGGAGAATACTGTCTTACAAAATTTAGTGTGAAACATTAAATAATCTCTTACTTCTTTATTTTCTAACAATTTTTCATTTATGACCCCAATAATATACGGGAGCAGACAAACATCATCTATACACTCAAAGCTCATTCATTTTTTTTTTTCCTGTCATGCATATTTTAATATAAAGTTCAAGACCATTCTGCAGAGCAAGCCCAGCATTCAGCAGACACGGGACTGGAGTGCAACATTTAAATTGCCCATGCTTTTTCTTTTTTTTTTTGGCATTTTAAACTTTAAGCTCTCTTTCAAAGGATGTTGTAGTTTTCGTGTTTACTAGCATTACAACAAGGTAAGTCTGAAATACCTTTATCTTATTTGGTAGATCTGTGTTTGATGCTCTTTGTTTGAATGGAAGTGCCAGCTGTATTTTACTTTATTATATAAAAAAGTTTCAGAATTTAATTAAGGGTCAAGTACCCGCAGTAGATAAATGCAACAGCTAAAGCATATTTCTGATCTCTCTGAAGACTGCAATCATGAAAATTATTATCATTGAGTAAAACTGATCTCAATGATGGTGACTGGTAGATGGAATCTGTGTTAGTCAGCCATAATTTACATAATAATGGGTTCCGAGTTTTCATCAGCACCTTTTGTTTGTACAGTGCTTACTGCTACAGTAAATTGTCAAAATGTCATTCCTATCCAATCAGCCAGAAAATATCAACAGTAAACAAGGCACAAGAAGAAATTCTCTGATTAAAAGTGTGGCGGAGAAAACAGTAAAAGGGGCCACTGTAATAGTTGTAGCCACCTTATTCTGATATTTTCAACAACACTGCTGAACAACTTAGGAAGCAATGCCATAGAGGGGGTGATGTCATTAGAAGAATCTCAGCAACCAATTAGATAACTGGTTTGTTTACACTTGTATTTGTCATTACCTGTTTATTTCCTTTTCCATGTGACAATCTATTTCACTTCTTGAGGCAAAACAGACTCGGCTAAAAAGTTACTTTCACTATGGGCTGGGTATCCACAGATCTACAAGAACAGTGCCCAAAAGTGACTTAATCAAGGAAAACACTTGAGTCTTAAATACAGATGCCAGCCCAAATAAATCTCTTCTCTCCCTAACAAACACACAAAGCCTGATAGTATTTAAGTGGAAATGAATTCAGCGTAACTTTCTGCCACCCTCTAAAATTCACAGGAGTGCAAGGAGAAGAGGAGCATGAATTAGTCACAGTGTAGGCTTTATAGCCATCACACTTTTATACTATATTAGAATTAAAAGTTTCACATTGTGTTTGAAATAAAAATGAATAAAGTGGCATCCTGCCAATGAGAACCAGAAGCTACCCTTGTGTGGAACTGAAACATTTGGCTCATATAGTACTTTATTTTTGAGAAATGACAAGTTATATAAATGTATCTTTAAAACAGAAAGGCATAAACTTAAAAAAAGTTTCTTTGTGTCGTGGTTCAGAAAGGTTGACAGAGTCATAGCCTGTATATAAACAGAACAAAAACCAATAAGCATTCCTCAAGGAGGGCGTCCGGCACTGTGCTCTTAAAAATCTTCAAATAGGAAGTGATCATGTAGTTGAGTCACTACAGAAAAGACTCACGGTACCTTCTTTTGGAAATAAAGAAGAGTTTTAAAATCTATTGAAACTAAGTGTTGACATAAGGAAATTATTTTGTAGAGCTTACAGATTTCTTTACCATTCACTTTATTTTACTTGGCTACTTTTAATTTTTTTCCACTCCTTCTCTTTGAAAATCTTGCTTTGTCCAAGCCCTTTCGATTAAGCAGCTTGCCTGAATGAAAGCAATGTGATGATGTAGCGGTGCATCAATAAACAGGGTGCCTCTCAAAGCAGGACAGAATGCTAAGAGATAGGGCTGATCAGCAGTAATTACTCTGACACTTCATGCAGTACAGGGAATTAACTCCTAGGACTTTGGGGCGAATTGAGAAGTAGTAGCTGATGTTCCACACTGTGAATGCCTCAGTTCCTTAGCCCATTGTGAGTTTAAATGGAGATGGGAATTCACTATATACAGGGAGGGATTTTTCTTTTTTCTCCCCCAAGTTAGGAACGTGAAGCAGAGTGCAGAAAATAGAAATAATTTGGGATGCTGAGCAGGCTGCATTTCCATTTTTTTGTTAAGGTCTTTACAGTCATTTTCCATTAAAACACAAAAAAAAAATCAATAAAGGGATGCCGGCAGCAACCGTGTTTATGGCAATGCACCCATCATGTTGAGGAAGACACCCATATGCCAAGTTAAGGAAGTGGAATTGCTCTAAGGCAGACCTGCAGAAACTAAGGTACACAAAAACACATAGCAGGAGGGGAAATACAGCTAAAAAGGCAACTAGTTAGCAGCTGCCACTATGACCTTTAACTGCATCCATGGTAACTGGGCTAAAGATGGAGCTCCATTTTATTATTCTCACACCCACAATGTTAAGCCTGTGAATCCCATTGCAATTTAATGGCTGAAATCAGAAGGCAGATCTGTGTTCATTGGACCAGTGCCGACATCCTCTTAGCTAATGAGTGCAATAAACATTTTCATGCCAGGAAACCAATGCAAGTGGAAATATTATGCCATGCAGAAATCTATCCCCCAAACACAAAGAAATGGTCAGTGAAGTCAGTCCTTTATGATCATTTGAGTATACTGTAATTTTTCAGGTTTTAGGCCACGCATCTTTGAAGCAGGAAGATATTTAACTCATATATTCTTTAATACTGTGGCATGCAACTGCATTCACTTTTTATTAAGGATCACTTTTTATTAAGAATGGGAAGAGTTATGTATTCCAGAGTTAATGATGATAGCTGCCTCTAATTATTTTCCTAAAGGAATCTTATGGTTTTAAATAGTATTTTTTCTTTCATGCATCTAAAATGTATTTCATCTATTTGCAGGCTATGTACTGTACCACCAGCTAAGCAAAAAGCCAGTAAACAGCAAACTGTTTCAACAAGAAAGAGGGCTTTGTTCTAACTTTTGTTGCGATTGTAATTTGACTCATACAGTTTTTCTTAAGAATCAGTGACAAAAGTGTCATATCTTTGTCATGTGAGCTGAAAACAAGACATATATCATCCTTACTTGGGTGGAAGAGCCAGAGCAATGACAACGGCAGTTAAAAGGCCCGGTGCTGGATGTGTCTTTGAATACTGAAGTACTTCCACCTCTAAAGTTCTGTGGTAACCTGTAAAATCAATAATGAGAGGTATGGAGTGGAGCTAACATTTGATTTGTAAGCCTTTACCTGGAAAAAACAGTACAGCTGAAGAGTAGCCATTAGTATTTTAAAAATTGTAAATATAGTGATTTAGCCACATTGAGCCATTCAGTCATTATCTGTCTTACCCCCCAACCTCCCTTAAAGAAGCACTGTTGTTCCAATAACACAACACACCAGGGTGAAGAAGGAAACTGAATGCATAAATGTGCAGCTGGGAAATGAAGGTCACCAAAATCTCCTTGAACTCTTGGGTAAACCCACTATATTTGTTTCAGTGCAGTGCAGTCAAAGACATAAAACTACATTAGTACATTCATAAAGAGCATTATGTGAAATATCCCTGCCTCTCACAGACAACTTCCTCCGTCATCTTAAAATACTCAGAATTTTATTTTTGTTAAAATCTTAGCCTGGCATAAGGAGAGAGGGCTTAATGACTTCCCCTGACAAGAACTACATGTATTTTTTTTTTTTTTCTTCTTATGGAATATTGCCAAATATCCTTTGTAATAAAAAGCTTGAACTATTTTGCTAACAGAAGCCGCTTGTTCTGGTAACTGTAAAGGTCAGACAGAAAATAATTTTGTGTTTCTTATCTCTTAAAATAATGTCACTTTTTATCATTATGGTAACATTTTTGGACAACAAAAAAAAGAGAAAACAGAAGATGTGATACCCCAGACCACCAGATACACAATTTTTTAAAAGACATTAGGTTAAAAAAGCTGTTAGCCAATTATACCAAAAACTGAAAATGTCACAAAAGCCAATGAAATCTCCCTGGTAACATTCAGAAATAATATGCTTTGGATCATTCTGTATATTAAATGACAACTGTCAATTTAAAAAAGAAGTCCTCTAAAATCTTTGATGTATGACAATTTAGAAGTTGAAACACACTGTTCTTACCATTTAATATCTTTGAGAGAAAAAGCTTTTGACATATTAACTAATGTGAAGGAATAAGTGCTCCTCTCATTTTGCTAACACAGTACTGGCCTGCACTGAGTAGCTTTTTGTGGTAAATGTCATAAGAAGCAAGGTGATATATAACTGTCTTATTTAGTTAAGAAGGATACACATTTATGGCTATTACATTACATAACAATAGAGAAAGGTGACGTTTTTTATACTAAATATTGTTCTATGTGAAGTATTCCTTTCAGTTAAATGGGCATTTGAATAGGCACTGATTGTCAATATTATCTAATCCATTTTTCCTTCTGTAGTACAGCATGATTCCGAGGAAGCTGTCAGTGTCTGAATGTGCAGCCATTCCAGGATAAAAGGTCTGTTGAAATGCATGTTAGTTGCCCTTTTCTTGTGATTTTTTTTGTTTGTTTGCTGTTTTTTTTTTTTGTTGTTGTTGTTGTTTTATTGTTTTTTGTTTTTTTTTTTTTAAATCATCCACAACCTCTAGCTTCAGGCATCTGGCCTACGTGGCTCCCAGGTAGCTGAGGAAATCACCTAGCAGCGCTGGGTGGCAATGCTGGGCTCGTCGCTTCAGCTTGGCTCCCAGGTTCTTCAGCTATGGAAGATGCTTCTTGCTACTCTGTGAGACCTCAGCAGCTAAGGCAATGTCTCAAATCCATGTGCCTTTGACTGGGGAACAGCTGAAAGTCTCCTGTTTTGAGGATAACTCAATGTTGTATCCTATCAGGTTTGCCTATGTAAAGACTTCTATTGCTGCTGAAGCAATGGAATTCGGCAAAGACATTTAGACAAGTGCTGACCCTGGGAATATCTAAGCCATAGATGACCAAATAATATGAAGCTAGTTCAGCAGAAACATTTTAGGGTCTGAATTTTGAGTTGTCTAAATTCACACCCTGTAAAAAGGAAGATCGTGTATCTAAATAAATAGCAAGCTTCTCAGGATTTTAGTTGTCTTTAATGAATAGTATGCATTCTAATTGTTAGGCACAGCGTGGCTGGGGTTTTGTGGCCCTGGAAAACCTCATATTGAAGGATTACACTGCTCAGTTGTTGTGAGAATATGTTTGAAGGTGATTTAAAGACAAATCTGCCCCCAAAAAGGAAAAGTCCTAAACAGTGTAGACCTCACCAACTGCTGCCGTTGGACACTTGGGAAGAGATTAGCTCCTGAACCTCTTTTAATTAACAGTATAAACACAGGCTAGGAATTCTGCTGTATATTGCCTCAGATCAGCTGTGGACTTTTTTTTCAGTTACTTTGCTGAAGAGCAGACCACAGGTCGACCATAGCAAGACTGGGAAGCATTATGAGGTCCTTCAGTAAATCCTTATAATAATGCTGTAGTCACTGGAATAAAATGAAATAACAGATGAGAGGATGGTGCCATGGTTGTGAAGATGGCAATAATCATGATCTGGGAAATCTTTCTGGCCCCAAAAGCAAGAGTAGAAAACAGAAAACACTGATGTTGAAACACTACTTTCAACAAAATGTATTTGAAGATGCAGATTTTTCTGCTGTGAAAAACTGGGACATTGGGACCCCATTCAATTAGACAAAGGAGCTGCACAGAGTGGGCTCCATCTCACAGGTGGGATAGGTACTGCCTTGGTTGAAGACTAGATGGAGCATCTAAAATAACATTACTAATGTAAGACTTTGTGTTGACAAACATGATAGAGATCTAAGCTATATATATCCCAGTAGAACCTATAAAGTGCAGAAAATTCATATAAGCAGCAGGAGGAACAAAGCAAAAATGTGTACCAAACAGAGCTATAAACAGGATAGCATTTTTAAGTTTTATACAAAATAATCCGCATATATTGCAGAAATTTCAGAAAGCTGAGGTGGTAAAACTGCTCACAATGATGTTGAAAGAGTAGACTTAATAGATATTTCTGTCTTGAATCTGAAAAAGAGAAATTATATATTTATGTGCGTATTGTATGAATAATTGTGTTTTTTTTCATTGTTTGGCAACCAAAGTAATATATTTAATTTCAGACAAATCCAAACATTTTTTTTAAATTAATTTTCAGCATATACACAAAGAACCTATTAAATTCCATTTTCATTTGCTCTCAGTAGCCTTTGTTTAAGTAGGTATAACTTGGAAGAAGATGTTCAGTCCAGAATTCCTTTATTTCAGTGCTTAAGCCATTTACTGAGAGACAAGAAAACAGGGTCACATTCTTATTCCTAGACAAAAAAGGAGGAGGTTTGAACTTTCCTTTCCTATTTCATGGGTGACCGATATCTTGACATAAAAGTGTAAGAAAGCAAAACTCCTTTCTGGTTTTGGTATGACATTTAAATCCTGCCATACCTATTTGCCTTACCACAGTTCCGGTTCATTCCAGATACTTGAATACATTCAAGACCAATGTCTTTAGGTGAGTTAACCATTCCAAGGTGAAAAAATGTTCACCATACTTGTATCTCATATAGGTAATAAAGAGGATTACCCATTAGTAATCAAAATGGGTGTTGAACAATAAAACTAATGATAAACAGTCTGAAATCAGCAGCATTGGATTACTGGCATATAAGAATTCCTAAGAGCAACTGGAGAAATGTTCAGTACATTGATGATAATTTTGAACAAGTCCTGACACAGAATCATAGAATCGCAGAATCATAAAATCATAGAATAGATAGGGTTGGAAAGGACCTTAAGATCATCTAGTTCCACCCCCCCCCCCCGCCATGAGCAGGGACACCTCACACTAAACCATATCACCCAAGGCTCTGTCCAGCCTGGCCTTGAACACTATCAGGGATGGAGCATTCACAACTTCCCTGGGCAATCAGTGCCTCACCACCCTTACAGTAAAGAACTTCCTCTTTATATCCAATCTAAACTTCCCCTGTTTAAGTTTTAACCTGTTACCCCTTGTCCTATCACTACAGTCCCTAATGAAGAGTCCCTCCCCAGCATCCCTATAGGCCCCCTTCAGATACTGGAAGGCTGCTATGAGGTCTCCACGCAGCCTTCTCTTCTCCAGGCTGAACAGCCCCAACTTTCTCAGCCTGTCTTCATACGGGAGGTGCTCCAGTCCCCTGATCATCCTCGTGGCCCTTCTCTGGACTTGTTCCAACAGTTCCATGTCCTTTTTATGTTGAGGACACCAGAACTGCACACAATACTCCAAGTGAGGTCTCACGAGAGCAGAGTAGAGGGGCAGGATCACCTCCTTCGACCTGCTGGTCACGCTCCTTTTGATGCAGCCCAGGATGCGGTTGGCTTTCTGGGCTGCAAGCACACACTGAAGCCGACCCATGTTCATTTTCTCATCAACCAACACCCCCAAGTCCTTCTCCACAGGGCTGCTCTGAATCTCTTCTCTGCCCAACCTGTAGCTGTGCCTGGGATTGCCCCAACCCAGGTGTAGGACCTTGCACTTGGCATGCTTAAATAATACTATAGAAAGTAACAAAACAGACCCCTTCCCCTGCTGTCACTCTTTTGCAAAACAATACAAAGCTGACATAGGATGTTTCTTCTCTGATTCCACAAGAACTGGTAGCAGATGAATGATTAAAAGTTTTTTTATTAACAGTCCAGAAGCTGGTGTGATATTACTCCTGGAAGTGTTTATGGATAAGTCAATGGTAAACAACAGAGAGAACACTCTGGAGATGGAAAAGATTGCTTAGTAAACTAGGTTATTAGAAATAGGGTGCTTTAATACAGCCCAATCCTAAATTACCTTTCTAGAAACAATGATGAAATCCACGAAACTGAATAACTGAAAGCAGAGATTTAAAAATATGGAGAATTCATACTAGACAAGCAACGAAACAGTAGCTCAGAATAGGATGGTACAGCAGTCAGTGAGGGGAGAAGAGAGGTGGTCTTTCTGGTATAATTTGGAGAGGACCATGCTGGAGTACTGCATGAACTCTGCAGTCCACGTTTTCAGAAGGACACTGGAGCTATTGAAGAGGGTAGAGAGGAAATGCAGAAATGTTTCAAAAACAGGAGAAAATGCCTTCTGGTGGGAGGTTTAAAGAGTTGGATCTT